TATTTTCAATTCTCTATATTATTTCTATGATTAATTGTGTTTACCACGCTTCAAAATGGATTTTTCCCCTCATATACCCTTTGATTCCTTTATGATTAAATATGTACAACATCTCGTTAAAGAATGTTAAATGTTGCAAATAAAAGATATTTTACATTTTAAAGTAAATTAAATTAAATTTTACCTATTCCTGATCCGTTTATAAATTATTAGACTAACACGGATATTAAAATTATAAAATAAAATAATTATTGCCAACATGCCAAGTTCAATATTTTATGGTTTCTATTAATTTATTAACGCACACCATTTTTTTTTCAAAGGTTCACCTGCTTTTGTTTGAATCCGGGGAAAACCGCCAATAGGCAAGCGACCTGCTTAACACTTTCAGCTACTTAGTTAAAATTGTTCGCACGCGTTTTTATTGTTAATTTCATATTTCGCTTGAGTCATTTGAATGCATTGTTTATCCTTTTTGGGTTTAATTAGGTGAATTCCTTCGGTGAGCTGGATTGAGAGGGATCAAGGCGTTGTTCTTTTGAAAAAATTGGGCAATTCATAGTTTGCCGACGACAGGAAGCTATTAATGCACGGCACGCATTGGAATGGTTTCCGGCGGGCCATCGGCACCCGAAGCGTTACTTTGCAGCTACCAAAGCCAGAAAAAACTAGAGGATTTCAATAGAGCATCCTTAAAATCGAGCAAAACCCAGTCAAATTAGAGGAAAATCCGTTGTATTCCCATACTCACAAATCTTGGTCAATCCAACTGCGTAAAACCACACTAAATAGAAGCACACATTGCATAACAAACGAATGCGGAAGAAGTGGCTTCCTGCGGCTCGCACTACTGAAGTGATTGGTTCAAGCTCGAGGTGCTGGTTTCAAAGATGCAGCAGGCGTTTTTGCGCAGTGTTGCCCCATTTTCGATGGTATCCTCCCATGGAAATTCGACTTAATTAGGCGGTCAATTTGCGTTTCCTGCATGTGGAAGCAACAAGCTGGAGCGCTTTTGGATCAAACAGCCCGTTCTAGAGTGAAAAGCGGATTTTCTACCTTAATCACTGAACTTTTTAGTTGAGAGCTTGACAACAACGCCAACTGGTACAGCTTTGTATGCTCAAGAAGCTGCAGCTGTTTATACACATCGATGATGGGCAAATGCTCAGATTAAAGAACGTTGTTGTACCTTATGCAGCAATGTTTCTGTTTCACCTGTGGATTTTAATAAACAATTATCGTTTAGTTGTTAGTAGTGTTTAGTTTAGTTTGCCATTTACCATCGCTAAACAGAAAAAGTTGTTTTGGGGGTGGAATTCGCGGTTCGTTTATTGGGTGATTGTTCATCAGGGCTTTTTGCGTAACGCATTAATGAATTTAGAATATTTTAACAATTTTCCAAATTGTTTTTTTGGAAACTTTGGCTCTGGCCGTTTTTTCCAAGATACTCTTAATTGCTTTCGGTAAAAAACTGTTTTTGTGCCAAATTGCAAACTGCAAACCGATGAATGAGGAGAATTTTCAAGCAACATCAATTTTGTCATTTTTGGCTGCAAAGACCCCTTTATTGTCAGAAAAGAAGAAAATTATGATTTTTTGCGCTTTTTATTAAAAACTTTTAGCTTTTTCATCGGTTTTTGCGAAAACCTTAATAGTTTCCGGTAAATTTAGTAAATTTATTTTCGTTTTTGCCTCGAATTCGACACCAAAACCCTGCGTTGGGTTGGCGCAACAAGCCATTTGCGTGGCACTGCGCCAACTCCTAAAAATTCGTTGAGTTACCCAGGCCTAGCCCAAAGGGTTAATGAATCACCCTCAAGCAGAGTCATGTTCAAGTGGATTTTGCAACTCAGAAAAAAACACGCAAATTTAAAACTTTTTGAATTCAAGCATTTTTTAAGAAAACTGCCAACATTTCCCCATCCATGGTTCACTTTCTAAAAAGGCCATTTATTTATCTCTAGAATGATGTACAAATGAGCGTTATTTCTCATTTTGCCTCCTAGAAATGAGCAAAAAGGGACGGAAAACATGTAATTTTGGCATAATCTTGCACCTAAGTGTCTGATATTCAAATTTTGCTTTCTGGGTCAAAACTACTCGAACTTCCTCACTAACGT